CCGTTTGCACTCCGCCTGCCTGCGACGGGCCTGGGTTCGCAACCCGCCCGCCACCACATGCCGGGCTGGCTTGCAACATGTACTTCAACTGTACTATTGCAATACGTACTGTATAGTGTATCCATGTAATCCATTTGTATAGGTCATAATGTACCTTTTTTTACTCCATGTTCGTAGGTTATAGCATTCATAGGTCATAGTGTACTTTTATTTTACAATATATATGTTTATGCATTCTATTTTTATTGTCTCATGGTAACAAGTACCTGCTCAATTTTCCCTTCTTGCAGTCCCAGACCTGCAGTGGTGGTAGTAACCTGTTATTGTTATTACAGGTGTCTGGGTGGTCCTTCGCGTCTCAGTTTACGAGCTATTGTGGGAATGTTTGGGTAGGGTCGAATTAACTGCAATCCATGCACAGTCCACTCGCTCGACCCAGCCCAAACATGTTGAATAGAATTAGATACATTAAAATTAAATCGGAATTATTTCATATTTTTTTCAAATATTTTCTCTAATATTTATTAGAAGTGATATATCTTTCTTACCAAAAAGAAATAAAAACAAAATTAAGTAAATATTCAATTCTATTGAGTATTTTTAAATAATATTGCTGTTAATTCAGTTCTTTGTATTGATTTATTTGGTCGCTTGTTTCACTTCAGTCATTTGCAACTTGTAGCGTACAACTATAAATGTTTGAAATTCAGTTTTTTACATTTCATGAAGCTACTTTATTAGTGTGACGTCGTTAATACGAGGGCCAGAACCGTTACGTCGGTGAAAGTGCGCTGAGGGGGAGGAAGGGGTTGAGCCTGAACTTCCGTGGCAGTTGACGCAGACAGCGTGGCTGAGACAAATTAACTTAGGTTGTAAACTCCTAGAAAGCTGGTAGCGAGGCCTCGCTTGCGACAGCAGCTACCTGGGAATCTTGTGTGGTGGGGGTGTAGCCCCCTCCTAAGATGCTGGCTAGCGAGGCCTCGCTTGCCGACAGCAGGCCAGCCTATCTAGGGAACTTGTGAGAGGGGGGTTTAGCCCTCAACTATTTAACGCGGCGCCATCTGCGCCCCAGTTCTCATTCAGTTTACATCAGAGAGCCTAGTACGAGTAGGTATAGGGAGCGTAGGAGTGTGAGCGAGATGTCCGGAGTGTAAGGGCCAGACGATCTCGGGTGCTTTCTGCACGCGGTCCGCCAGACGGCGACCGCTTTAAATTTTGGCATCAGGCCATGTGACGGTAATTGTCACGGGACGGAAGTCCGACAGCTCGCATCACGCGTGGCTTTTTTTCTGCGGTAAACAGGGTACTGAAAGGAAAAGATTGCCGGAGTGTTTAAATTTAGCAATTTATTGTAACTAGTCTGTAACTTTTCAATACACTATTTTTATTTTTGTTATTTGAATTTATTCTCATTTCACTACGCCACATTAGTTTAACCTTTACTTATTGACTGCTGTGTGCTTCAAGTTGCAAATGACTCCAGTGAAACAAAAGTCTGAATAAATTAATTCCATACAACTAAATCACATTAATCTTTTAAGTTTCACAGGCGTAAAAACCACAAACAGGAAAAGGAACAAATATGATAGCATTTGAAATACGTACATTTGGGAATTCAATATAAGGAAAACACTTCATGGATGTATTTATAAATTCCACATTGAATTTAAAATATTTTTATTATTTTTTATACATTTTCATAATAAACAAGCCATTGCCCTAGCCCACAAAAAACGAAACATTACAATGAAGAAAAATTTCATTACGTTATCTCAGTTCTAGAAGATCCTGAACAGTAAGATACCAGTTTTGCACCTGAGAATGTTGCAAATTTGCTCACATAGTAAAAACCAGACGTGTGCATATGAACACATTAGAAGGAGCACAGTGCTCCGTGTAATACAAATATTTCATGCAGAGCTTATTCCTTTAGAATATGGAAAATATTCAAGAGGTCAAATTACAATCCATTGTATTTATGCACATTATTGTTATTTTATTAAACTTATAATTATTACTTGCAGGTTTCCCAGTGTTCAACGAAATTCAAATTAGTCTAGTCAAATAACAGGTTCCATGGTTCAAAAATAGTGAGTGAGGAAACAATGTGAGTATTCTTAAAGAAGAAATAATGATTACAAAAATAAATAGCTATTTCAAATGCATTAATCATGATCACTTCTCAACATCAAACCCAAACTATAACACGTGTTCCAAAATTGTAAAGTTTTATTAAAAAAGCGCAGTGTAATTAAATTTTCACACGAGACATTTTTCAAATCTCCATTTTATTCTTTCTAAAATTTTGTTATTGTATAGTAGGTCAATGTCGGCACTGGATCAGTATCACGTGTTGCCTTAAACTGGATAAAAATGTCATTTATAATTTCTTTCATAAAAATGTGTGACAAAATCAAAGCCAGAAGTCTTCAGAATTGATTGCTTTGAATTTTCTATAATATCTTTCATAGAAACAAAATTTTCACCTCACAGCTCGAAGTTTGGCTTGATATATGGGACGCGAATTTCATACATATAACAAAGTTGCCAACATAAAAATGGTTAATCATTGCTAATTTCTGAAAGTGACAGTATTCTTAATATAACTTGATTATTTAAAAACCTCCTTATTTACTCTTTAAACACACAGGGAAGAAGAACATCAAGTAGAATACAGATTATGCAGTTATCCGTTTCAAAATCATTCTTCACGTCTAATGTTTTCTGCTATTCTTCGCCGAATTAATCAGCGCCTCCTTTCTCTGATGGAAATGTGTGATGATCTTAGTTTAGATTTTACTTAAATGTACATTTCAACACTTTTTATAAACAAATTTACTGCATATTTTCATTGGCAACTAAGTATCATGATCAACATAACCCACTTTCAACATTTCAGAAATTTGAAAACTTTTTTCATATTTATCAGATGCTAAAACCACTGGGGAGTACTCCCAACTTTTCCAAACTAAGCATTGTATTCTCTCAAACTCTCATGATAAACCTGCAATGAACCATTAAATATACGTTAACAATACTTATTCTATTCAAGCGTAATGTGGACATGACCTCACTAGATCATTCTCTCATCACTGAGTGACATATAGCATTTACATGGGATAAAAGCATCATATTCTTATCTTATAATTCCGTTCTTTGTAAACTTTCTGAACATTTTCCTCAGAGGCATACGTGAAAATTTACTCCAGAGACATAATTTCCCTTGATGAGACACTTTTTCACACTCCGAATGTCACTGATGGCTCGCCATCGCAGTTTCAGCCTCGGCCCGACTAAACTATCATTCTCCCGCGAAAGTGTACGAGTGGCACACCTTACCACACAAAATAGGTCTCTTTCATAAATTGCCGCTGAGCGTTAGTAGAAAACCTTAGAAAGCAATGATACTGAATATGTGTGGTTCTGCGCCCCATGTACTTTCCAACCATCAGGGCTAGATTAGCTCTACAATCAACCATGGAAACATCATCGGTGATCATTATTGTCACAAAATATATTTCGATTGTCGCAACGTGAAGATATGTAACCAAAGGTTTGTGGTTCAGAGTGAAATTATAATTTTTTCAGTGTCTTTTTAGTTTTCATATTTACGAATCACCAATACGCCATTCATAAATACGATATGAATT